GAGCGGTGTCTTCTGAAATATAACCGGCACTCTCAATATTTAGCCAGCATGCGAAGCTCTGATCTTTGAAATCTGTCACATCTACGAGGTCCAGGAGAATATACATCGTCAGCGAAACATAGATGGGCAGGTCACATAATGAGAAGAACAGACGACAGATGTACGAAAAGAACTGTAGAGTGGACTGCACGAGAGTGCAAACGTCACCTAGGACGACCACCTACCTGTTGCGCAGACGTGTTCGTAAACAAAGTTAGCCGGCTGACACCGTAGCTGAGGTTATTTTACAGATCACTGTGTAAGAATGGCGCGCCACCATGCTCGAGCAAAACCGCCACCATGGACGACGATTGCGAGGGAAAGAAACCAATGGCAAATGTGCTGGGGTACGCTTAACTCGTGAAGACGGACCATCCAAATATCCAAGCAAGAGTGTGTTACTATTTCGTAGTTGGTACTATGGTTCCACCACACAACCACAATGCTGGTAACATTTTGAGGCTTTTTTGCCTATGTTAAACGTATTTTCCTATTTTTAATATCCATCCATTAAGTAAGATAGCCACGATTCACCTAAGTGATTAGTATAAAATGACTAGTCAATTTATAGGTCAGTAAACTCGTTTAAAAAGGTGGCTTTTACGTATTTCTAAAGAGGAAATAGAGCTTTTGCCGAGTAACACCCACCACAACACTTGTCTTCGATAAGCTGTCAAGAGATTAAAAAAAGTACAACGAAAGGCTCCATGCGGTAAAATAAACGACGAAAAACAGAATAAGCCACAAGTGACTCACCTCGGCCAGCTAATCGCAAGTGTGCGAATCACATGTGACTCACCACGTCGAAAATGTGTTGATTTAGACGAATGCATTTTTAATCTCTAAGAAATGAAACAACACTGAACACTTTACCCCTAATCTTTATTTCTGCAGAAGATTTGTCGACGTATTTAAGTTTGCGAGCGTCTCTGATACAACCAATAACATGTTTTACATCATTTGCAGAACAGATACTAATAAATTTAGCACAATACATCAATAGAGTCTTAATAGATTTACTGCATTGCTTTCATTCGTTGCAAAGATATAAGTCGGCGCAAATCTTGTCGGCTGGCTCGTGATCCTGAAACTGCAACTAGTAGGATTGTAAGATTTGGGAAAACTTTGGAGAATAGGTGGAAAAAATCAGCTAGCCTTCAGTTTCTCGATGATGTATTTAAGATTTTTGGCGATGATCTTCTCACAGTAATCGGAAAGGAATTCTGGCACATCATCACGACAGAATTCGCTAACAGCCTTGAACAGAATACTACACATATTGTTGTCAAAAGCGCGATTATTGATTGCAAGGGCGCTGATTGACCAAGTATATTCAAATTGCATTTAATTATTTCCCGTGATATTATTATAGGGTGCGGATAGCATAGTGGTAGTGATCCCCGTCATCACGTGCATTGTGCTAGTTCGATTCCGTTCCCGACCAACCAAGCCTGTTCATCTTTCCGGGGTGTGGAAATGGGTACCGGACTTGTCTATTCGTCTGGGAAAAAATTACTCTCTGCAATCTAATTGCGGACACTCTAGCCCGGCTATCTCAGGACTCCAGGGAGATTGCTCGACTAGCATTCTACGACATCCAAGATGAAATGAAAACCCTCAATCACCAACCGAAGCCATACGTAAAGTTGGAAGATCTTCGTGGACAATGGATGCGAGGAAACGAATTGAATGTGAGAAGTGCTGGGATCCACACAGTAGACGTGAAGACGGATCGAATAGAAAAAACTATATTACACATTATATATTGTGTTATATTACACCATTTTTATATCACATTGCATTATAATATTTTCTTTATGCGTGAGCCGACATCACGTATCATATACCGCTTATCTTAGCATTTCTTTCAATCGAGTCCTTTCCTTGAATCAACCATCCGCGAATATCTTCGAATCTTTCCTTGTCGCTTCGGCTGATGGTTTAGGGTTTCTGATCTTCTTCACGAATCCACTGGAAAGTTGGTCAGTCCGATTCTCCGCTAATGTTTGGGCTAGCTGTGCTAAAGCGTTCGCGAAACTAATTTTATATGAAATTGAATGGAAAGTTTTTCTATTAGGCAAAGTGAGCATTGGAATCTAGAACTACCCACATGTCTTTTAAATATTTACTATTTCGGTGTTCGCCTTTTCTGGAACAATCAGTAAGAGCTTCACGCAGCCTCGAAATTGCATGGTGTTTGCAAATAGATTTCATATTCTCAATCATTGGTGTCGGGAAGCGGTATCTAGCAAATGGAAGCTCGTATTTGCAAATAAAAACATTTTACCAGTGATATTACTCATACAGCAACACATCCATTAAAAGGATATAGAATAAAGATTACGGCGTTGACCAATCCCTGTGAGAAGCAGCCTGAATTGTACTCCATTGGCATCATCGCATAGGTGAATGAATGCGCATCTTGTTTACACGATGACCTGTTTTGGCTTACTGATGTGTCGAGTCAGTACTGCTAACCTCCAAGACAAGTTTGGAAGCAATCGCCGACGTGAAGGCATGGAAGACTTGGTGAGCCCATGGCATGTGATCAAACGAGCGACCGACGCTCTGTGTATTGCAGAAAACCTCTAGTCAGTGCACTACCTACGCTAAATTTGGTCCACTGTGATGGAGACTGGGCTGTTCTAGGCGTTCGGCGGTGGCAAAGAATTTGTTATCAGTCCAATATGCTCGTATCTCCAAATAGAATGTTTTATCAATCTTATTATTCACGGAGTTATTTGGCACACTGCATACGTGTGGACTGCAAGACAACTAGATGATTCAAATCAATTCTCCGGAACAACAACCATCTTCATCGCTCCAGGATTATCAAAATGGTGCAAAAATTGTCTGCAAAGGCAAAAAACGTCCGTTTGTTTCATTCGTAGGGCCTCGCAGATCGTTATTTAGGCCAGATATGCATTCGGTCACGTTTATAATGCCACGAGACGAATACATGACTCATCCCACGGAGACTGGTCAATACCGGAGGATTTATCCATCTTATCCTCTATTTATTGAAATGCAACGAGAAGTATAATATCATATAAGTTGTTTATTACTTTAATGGTCAGAACATCGAAGACTGTCGCTTTAGCATCGTAGTGGCTCTCTTCCGTTTCACTGCACTTTATATGTTAATGTGCAAGTGTTATACAGCACCTTTTCAACATCACCGCCCTTCTTCAGCACCTCATCGACTTTGTCAACAATATTCTTGCATAGCTCACAGAACGGCTTCTTGTAGGCACTTGCGAAGGCGGCCATGCAAAGAACACCAACGAGAACCGTGGCACATCTCATCCTATCTATTTAGAAATTCCACTTTATGCCAATATCAAAAAAGTAACTAACAAAGATAACAGAAAAGAACTTCCTGAGGTTCTAAATCGGCCTAGATGGCCCCAATTTATCAGAGATTCAATATTCTTCACGGTAAAAAAGAGTACAAGCAGATTAGAAAAAGAGACTTTTGACAAACGTCAGTTGGTGACAACGCTACAACAGACAGAAAAACAAAGCAGTAATTGTAGTAGTTTCGTTTATATTTGAATGAATGTTTATTTAGTTTGAACGGAACTATGAAATTGGATACCACACCGAGACGAGAAGTGTCGAAAGTATTCAACGAGAGATATCGGGCAAGGTTGACGTAAACAATATGTGATTAATACCACATGTTCATGATCAGCTCAAAGGATGAAGGGATTAAGAGTTCGGGGTTGGCCAGCCCTTATGGATGCCTAATGCATTCGATTCCATTCGCAGCATCTTACCGGGATCTTCATCACATGCATCAAGTTAATGTTCTCTTATTCTCCCAAACAGGACCAGAGTACCAATTTACTGACTTCGATGACATGTTAAAAAAGTTGAGGCAAATTTTTTGCTCTTTTTGCTCAATTTTTTGTATAAACACGACAGATCACCGATAGTCATTATTAACAGCAGTAAGCGAAGTGTCCTTACTCGGTACTGTGGGATGATTTGGTGAGTTCTGGACGAGTGCCACTTTTATGAAGACATGGAGGCGTTTCTAAATTTAGAACGGAGCATGGCTATCACATAAATACAAATTAGCTTACGTTGTTCTAAAATCCAAAGTAACGCCAATGATCCGTTCCTTAACTTTCATCCTTGTGCCGATCTTTGAATTATATCCTTATTAAATGAAAAGGCTTCCAAGAGATTTTTATAATTTACACTATAAACACCATTCATAGAGCCGAGAAGATAACCTTGTTTAAACAGCATTACTTTGAATGTTTATGTAATGTGTAAAAAAACCTTTTTAAGTGGCTGTAAGCCTATATTCAAAAGATGTTGAGTTTTGCGCAATTCCATTTCAGCAAATGGTGTGCAAACTTTTTGATGAGTAAGGTCCATCTTCAACGGCTAGAAGAAAATAGCAACTAGAAAATGTGCAGGTGATTTTTACCTCCCAAAGACAAGAATCATATCAGAAAGCCACATTTCAGAAGAAATGTGTCGGCCTTCGAAGCTGGTTTTCCCAGGGATAAAAACAGTTCTCGAAAATGTTCCTAATAAGATGACGCATAGGTTCTGTTTGATTCTGTTATTCTGTTTCTTGAATATCTTCTTTTCTAAACTTTGATTGTCTATATTTACCTAAAAATGTGGAAAAGAATTAGTGTAACATACGACAATCATTACAAAACCTTTCAGCAACGAGTATTCAGCCATGAGTGTAGATGATGCTAAGCTTCTCTTCAGAAGATATTAAACTATTCAAAAAATGTTTGTGTACTTCCTAGTAGGTACTCTCAAGATTCACTTCGGCTTTTAAAACAACGACATAGCAACATCCAAATCAACAGTTTTTTGAAAAGATTCTTCAAAGACTTGTGAGAACTAAACCGTAATTTTTTCGAAACCGACCTTCCCTAAACCTCGGTGTGACAAATCAATATGTATTCTTTCTTGATAAGCTTGCACGAGGTTGATAAATATATTTATTTTCGGCTAACGTTTCGACGTCTTCGTCTTCCTCAGAGCCGGTGATCCGAGTCGATGGTCCATGCTTGTTGTTCGCCTCGACGTTGCGTCTTCGCCTTCCTGTC